AGGGAACACTTACCAATTCATTTTATGAAGCTAGTATTGCCCTGACACCAAGATCAGAGATAGTACAAAAGAGAGAAGACCAACATCCCTTATGAACATAGATGCAAAACTCCTAAACAAAATATTAGCAAATACAACTCAGCAACATATAAAAAGAATTATACACCATCACCAAGTGGGATTTAGTCTATGCATGCAAGTCTGGTTCAGTATTTGAAAATCATTCAGTAAAATCTACCACATTAAAATGTTAAAGAAGGAAAAATCACAGGCTCATTTTAATCAAGGCAGGAAAAACATTTGACAAAATTCAATACCTGTTCATGGTTAAAATTCTCAGAAAAATGGAAATAGGCTATTCCGCAATTTGATAAAGAACATCTATTTTTAAAAAGCCTATATATTATAGCTAACATTATGTTTAACGTTGAGAGACAATAATTTTCCCTTAAAATGAGGAACAAGGCAAAGATGTCTGCATCTGCTTTCACCACTCTTACTCATCATTGAGTTCTAGCCAGTGCTTTAAGTCAATAAAAGTAAATAAAAGGCAAAACAATTAGAGAGGAAGAGATAAAACTATTTGTATTTGCAGATGACATGACTCAGAGGTAGAGCCGGTGCTTAGCATGCGTGAGGTCCTGGGTTCAATCCCCAGTCCCTCCATTGACGAAATAAATAAGCAAAAAAACGAACCTCCCTCACTCCCTCCCTCCCAAAACAAAACAAAAGAAACAATACCCAAAATAAATAATCAGAATTAATAAGAAATTTTAGTAAGATTACTTTCTGTAAGTCAAGTGTATTAGTGGATAGAGAAATGAAGTGATGTCTTGACTGGCATTTTCTTTCCTTACAAAATAGAAGACATCACAACATAGCTCATGGAGAAACAATAATACTGTTTTTGAAATTTTTGTTTCGTGTGGGTGTGGGTGTGGGGCTACTAGGTTGTGTTGCTAGTATGTTGCTAAAATGTATTGCTGTCAAAAGAGTTTGAAAAGCTGCTAGTCTAAAGTAGTGCTCGTCAAACTTCGCTGTGTATAAGAGTAACTCTGCAATGACCAGGAAAACCAAAAGCACATTTTTACTGGGCACCTGCTGGGAGTAAGGCATGACCTGGGCCCCAGTCTTGTACTAATAGCATTGGGTGGGTGGGGGCATAAAATAAAGAGGCGACAGAGATGGGACAAAGCTGGAGGAGGCTGTTTGGTGGTGGGTAGGTGCAAAGAGCCTCCAATGCAGAGCTGGGGGAATCTGTGACCATTTGAATCCTGGCTCTGCCACTGACCTTGGGCTGGTCGTCCAGAGTCTCTCTGAGTCTCAGGTACTTCATCAGCAGGAGGGGAACAGTAACACATGCTTTTCCTCTTTCCTAATCCAAAAAGGATGATGTGGTCTCTGGAAGAGCACTTTGGAAGTGTTAAAGATTCTGCACACCTAGGTATTATTATTATCACATGGAACAATTAGAACCCTAGTTTGTGCTGTTGGCATTAAAGTCTGGGGATGGGGGTGGGTAATAGATTAGGTGGGGAGGGCCTATGGGCAGATTTTCAGGCACAAGCAAAGCAGGACTTTAAGTGGTGCTTAAAGGGAGAGTGAAGAGATCCAGTTGGCAAGGCTGAGGGAGGGAGTTGGTAATAGCGTGCTGGGGCCAAATTTGGAGGATTGTCGGAGCCTGCCAGTTAGTTGGGTCTTGTTGGAGCCGACAAGAGGGAACCACTGCAGGCTCTTGAGCAGGGGAGACACCTGAAGGAAACGGAGAGGTAGGAAAAGTGATTCTCCATCTCCCAAAGCTGTTTTAATTGGTAATAATAGGACTGTTCCAAGTACAAACATTACTGCCTCTCAAAGCTGATCTGGGCATTTTCTGGAGGGACTTACGTCCTCCTCTGGACTGTCATGGTTATCTCTGGCTGGACTTGTCTCTTTGGAAGCAGTTGTACCAGCTCAAGCCTTTGAGGAAACATTCATTTCCTGCCTGGTTCCCCCTGCTTGGGCATCTCTCCCTTTTTAGGGGTCATAGGTTATGAGCCCCATTTATGGAGCTTGGTTCATGGAAGGCAGTGGGTCTCTGCCCTGGAATTTGTTTTTAAAAACCTCCTCACGCCCAGGTTGTATCCCACATTAGTGGCATTGTCACCTCTGGGGTGGGACTCAAGCATCAGGATTGTTTTTAAATATCCCAAATAATCCCAGTGTGCAGAGCAGTTCTGCAATCCACAGACCACCTCTGACAATCAGGCATCCTACCCTGGGATTACCCCTTCCATGTATGCACCATGCCCACCTGCATCAAGGGTGTAGGAAGAAAGCATTAGGGTTTCAGTTTGTATTTATTTGAAATCCCATTTTTTTTTAATGTTCATGCTTTACAATTGACTTAATGTAGTGGAGCAGTAGTAATGACAGTAACAGGCGGTAGCCCCTGAGCACTTACTGTGGCCAGGCTCCCATCTAAGCACTTTACACTAAGCACTTAGTGCTTCACAAAAACCTGATGAAGTATTATCTGTATCGTACAGATGAAGGAACTGAGACCAGAGAGGTTGAAAAACCAGTCCATCACACCACCAGAAAGCAGCTGTGCCAAGATTCAAACCCAGGCTGGCTCTAGCATCGTATCTTTTATCCACAATGACAATCTGCTCTCACAGTACACATGTATAATTTATAAACAAACAAATAAAGAATGCGCAAATAAAATACAGATATCAGGGGGACCTGCTCAACATTTTTTTACTGGTAAGTTTTCATAACCAAATAATTAAACCATGGTGGCAGACGATGTGTCCTTGAGGCAAGGTCTAAGTCTCAATATTCTCTCTGTTCCCCCCACCAGGGGGACTGGTGGGCATCTAAGTCCTTATATATGCTCAATAAATATCTACTCTCAGAAATATCTACTGATTGACAATCATAACAAATGGTTATCAACATCTGCTGTGTGCCAGAGACTCTCATTCTTAATCTTCACAACAATCCTGAAGGTACCTAATGTGATTAGCCCCATTTTGCAGATGAGGAGACTGAGCAGCTCAGTAACTTGCCAGAGCCTGACCCAAATTGTGGGACTGCAGAGCTCATTCTCTCCAACTGGTGAACAGGTCCACAAAGAACAGCTTATAAAGAGGGGGTGGCGTTGAAAACATCAGGAAGAGGCAGAGGTTGATCATTCACTCCTTTGTCGGGTGCTTCCCTTTGCCAGGAGTGCCTTTTTCTATTTGCCTGACGGGCAAACTCCTGCCTACTCTTCTGGCCTCACCTCAAAGGCCACCTCCTCCAGGGAGCCTGCCTTTCCTCATGTTGCATTTTGTTGCACCTGCCCTGTGGTCATGCCTTGTCTTCCCCGTGAGAGGGTCCCCACTAGAACTGGAGTTGGAGTTCTTTGAAGGCAGGGCTGGGTCCTACTCAAGGGGCATCTACCGAGAGGGCTCAGCAAACTCGGACGCTGGGCTGAACCTGTGCCACCCAGGCCAGAGGTGCCCTCTCTCCCTGGGGTTTTCCTCCGTGGGCCCTGTTTGCCTTTCCGCCTCCTTTTTCTCCCTCCTCTGTTCTTTCCTTCTTCCTCCGCACTTGTCTTCCCCCTCCGTCCCCTCTAGTCCTCCCTGGTCCGCTCTCCTCTTCCATCGTCTTTCTCCCTCCTCCCCGGCCTTGGGCCTCCCGGGCGGGGCAGCTGCAGTTCTCCCGAAGGCCTAACGAGGGAGCTGCTGCGCCGCCGCGGGGCCGTGCGGCTGCGGCGCGCGTTTCCTGTGAGGTCAGGTGGGAGGAAGCGGCTTGGGAGCCGCAGGGAGTGGACGCAGCAGAGGCCCGGGAGCCGCGCCCCAGGTGAGTGGTTGGGCCTTGGGGAAAGGGGGCGCAGCAGCTCCCTCCCCGAGTCCTGGGCTCGGAGCTGGGCTCGGCGGCCTGGGCAGCGACCCCTCCCACCCTGGCAGCACGCCGCGACCCCGTTCCCCACCCTCCTTAGTGTCAGGTGCGGGGAGGGCCGGCCGCGCCTTCAGCCCACCCAGCGGGGCAGGATGACAATGCGCAAGGGTACTGCCGAGGACCCTTCGGACCCGCTTAGCCTTTTGCAGGGGCCAGCAGGCTTCCAAAAGAGACCCGCCTCCCCCAGGCTCCAGGCCACGGGCAAGTGAGCAGGGGCTCCTGACCCCATTTAGCCTGTCACGAGTGCTTTTGAGAATTTAGACAAAAACTGTGGCTCATCCCCTGAGAAAAAATGGCCTTTACCCAGACGCGGGGAGAGGCGTGGAAGGGCCCCCACCTCCAGCCCATGGATACCCCTGGGTTCTGCGAGTGGGGCCCTCCCAGAGCCACAGCAGCACCCCCATCCCATATTTTGGGAAGGCTGGCCCTGCCCTTCTGGTGTTACCTGCAAGGCAAGGGCACGTGAGGATGTGCCCTCTGCAGAAAAGTAGCTCTGAACTGGGCCCAGATCTCCTGCTGAGAGAAGGCCCACATCCTTAACGTCTACTCCCTCAGGGAACCGCACACAGGACCATTTTTTAACGGAAGGGAAATGAAGACACTGGGGATCCTGCTGTCCTGAATTCCCTGCTTAGTACCCAGAGAAGAGCTAGGGCCAGAGATCTTGGCTTCACGTTCTTTCTGTGCTGCCCATGAATGAATGGTCCTGGGCAAGTGAGTTAAAGTTCTCTGGGTTTCCAGCTGTATTTGGCCCAGAGGAGTGTTCAGAGGCCGAGATGAGCCTTGGAGGACTTTCCACAGGGCCCTGGCCACAGCACATGTTCTTGTCCCCACTGTTGCTGGCGGTGGTGGTTAATAAAATTTCCTTCTCCAAGGCTCTTTTCGGTCGTTTTCCTAGTGAACTCAAAGTGTGAAAGATTTTTGTCTGGTAAACAACTAGCATTTATTTCTTTCGTTTATGTTAGACAAACTGCCTACTCAGCATGGGTCACCAGTGAGGGCGCTCAGAATTGCAGTTTTTCCCACTGAAAGCAAGCATCTCTTTATCTTTGGTGAATTTTTTCCTTCAGGTGTTTTGAGGTCTGGGAACAGTACAGCCCAGTAGGGACCCATAGCTCCTGGAAGGATGGTTCGGATATTGGCCAATGGGGAAATTGTGCAGGATGACGACCCCCGCGTGAGGACCACTACCCAACCACGCAGTAGCACCCCTCGACAGGTAGGCACCCAGCCTCTGTAGAGGGGAGCAGCTGGTCTCCCATCCTCTGTACCAATTACTCCTTAGCTCCCAGAAGCTCCCTTGCTGGGCATTCTCTAGGCGGAAGCCCTTTTTGCAGAGAGCCAGGCTGGGGAGCATGAGGGTTTAAGACTTTGGGGAAACCCCAGTAGATTTATTGCCCAGCCGTCTGCCTCCCCAGCTCTCCTTCCTCTAGGCAGCCTTCTCAGTCTTCAGACCCAAGAGCTCTCTCTCCTTTAACCTGGACAGCAACCCCCAAATGGAGCCAGCATCTTTTAAAGTCTGTTGGATGAGAGAGAAACTGGAGAGTAAATGGAGATGAGCCCATGGCAACACAATGATGAGTTGAAAGGAAGGAGTGAGGAATGTTAAAAATGCGTACCCAGAAGCTGTGCCCTGTAGTTCCACTCTCGTTTCCCCCTTGCTGTTCTCTGTCCCTAGCACCTTCTCCCTGACACGACATAGGGGGTATGGACTTACATTTTCTTTGCTCTGAGAGCTTGTGACTCAGTGGTTGGGATTCCCGTGGGTGGCGTCTGGGGATCACTGAGAAGGGAAGACATGGCCCTGGGTGGCTGTAGGGGAGGGCGGGGCCCCACACAGAGAGTTCCCTCCTGCTTCTGATGCCTCAGATCCAAGGAAGCTTTCTCTGGATTCATTTGTCTCTCTCTGTCTTCACCTTCCAGAGCTTTCTCAGTAGGGGTCATGGTGCCCCCCTGGGGGGTCCTGGCCCTCGCCAGCAGCAGGTGGGAGCCAGGCTGGGTGCTGCTCAGTCCCCCTTCAATGACCTCAACCGGCAGCTGGTGAACATGGGCTTCCCCCAGTGGCATCTTGGCAACCACGCTGTGGAGCCGGTGACTTCCATCCTGCTCCTCTTCCTGCTCATGATGCTCGGCGTACGTGGACTCCTGCTGGTGGGCCTTGTCTACCTGGTGTCCCACCTGAGTCAGCGATGACCTCTGGGGGCTGCCGGGGCAGGTGTGTGGGAGAGGGAGCTGCTGGGCCTTGGTGTGAGAGCAGGCACACTGGGAGGGGCTCCAGTGGTGCCTTGAAGGTGTGCTCAGAGAATGTGTTTCCACGTTGTGTTAAGCATGAGGCAGAGGGAGCCTCTAGTCCAACATTCCCAAAGGATTGGGTGATACCCTCATTCCCTTAAGATTTGTTTAGATAGTGTCAGGCATTAAGCACAAAGTCAGAACAAGGAAAGGATTCCCTTTCCAGTTCTTTTCCAATCCTTTTATGCCAAGAAGAAATTCTCCACCAGGTGCCAGTATATTCTCATGCCTCTGGAACATGGGCTGACTCCTCCGATACTAGGGACCAGGCCTTGGGCTTAGGGTAGGTGGGAAAAGTTTCCAGACTTTTATAGGTCCGTTTTGTTTTAGTGGTAAATTTTTATTGGCAACCTTTTATTTATGACAAGTGATACTGGCATTCTACTTATTGTGGTGGCATTTTCAATAAAGAAATTTAAGTAAAAGTGAGTCCATGCAAAGACATTCATAAATGATTGTACAGCTGCATGTAGATCTGGAAGACATGGTGAAGGTGGTTTGGGGGTGATTAGGGTTGGGGAACTAGGTAGAAGGGAGCATTTGAACTTGGAAGGTGTTTTCTAAGCTTTTTTTTGACAGACTCTGGGAGCAGGGGGTGGGAGGCCAGGTAAAGCTTGGACCCTTGTCTAATGCTTAGATAATTTCTGGCTCACTGTGAGATGCTGGCCTTGTAGGAGTGGGGGGAGGGAGGTCCTCTGGTCAGAATGGCCAATGAGGCTGTGGGATCAGGATGGCTGGGGTGCAGGTCTCCCTTGCCCGGGGACTCTGACCAGAGGCCACTCAGCATCCCAAGGCTTCCTCAGGCTCTTGTAGCCTCTAACGCCGGCACTTTCTCCTTAGAAAGCAGGGGTCATGGTGCTAAGTCCCAGTGCACATGGGGTGAGGGTGCCCTCCTTTTCGTGAGTGGAGGCCTTGAGTTTTGGCTGGTTGAGTCCTGAGTCTGGGTGGGGGCCCTGCTTGGGGGGTGGGGTTGGCATTGAATGACTGAGGGCTCTGGGCCTAAGTGGGCTGACACTTAAAGGTCAGAGAGAAGCTGAGGGCTTCCCTTGCCCAATGACAAGATTTCTCACCCTTCTCTTAGAATCCTTCTGCATCTGGTAGTTTGGGGGAAGAAGGCAGGTTTTGGAGGTGCTTCTTGAAAGCCAGGGCTGGGGTAGCAAACCATCATGGGATAAATGTAGGGGAGGATGGAGGAGAGAGATGGAGATTGATTCCATCCTTCCTGAGAGCCTGCGATGTTGTGGGGAAACAGACCCCTCTCCCTGCAGCTCTTGTGCCCACTGCTGCCTGTGAAGGGGCTGGTGGCCTTTGTCACAGAGACTACTCAGGAAGCTTTGTGCTATTCAAACAGGACTCCTTTTTCAGGGTTTTCTGTGGCTTTATTCTCCGGTGGCATCACAGACAGGGAAGGGAAGGTCTGGCTCCCAGTGGCTCCTCTGGGACCCGGGCAAAGGAGGTGGTTGTCCAGGCCTGGCTGGTGCCCTGACTGTTCCCTGTGGCATCTCCCTCTGCCCAGCCGGCCCCTGGCTCCTACGGCTCTAGCCCCACAGCCCTCGGAGGAGGGATGGTCCTGCAAAACATCTCTTCCCCTGAACCTCCCCACTCAGCACGTCTCTCTGGGTTGGACTTCCCCTTTCTTTTTGCCTTGCAAAGCTGTGGGACTCTGAAGATATAAATCTTACGTGGACCCCCAATTTATAAAATTCTTTAAGGCATATGAGTCTGAGTCTACAAATTCAGGGCTGAGAACTGTGTCTTTTTCTAGAATTCAGTTTGCAGTCCCAAAGCCTGAGTCCTTTGAGGATCGAGGGTACTTCAGAGACGGCAGGGGAAGCAGGGCCTCCGCACCGCTCCCTCCCCGGCTCCAGCTCCTGACCAGACCTGGCCAGGCACTGGGGGCGGGAGGAGCCCTGCGGCACCTTCTAGGGACTTTTTAGCCAGCCTAAGGGAAGCAGTTGGGGGCTCAGAGTGAGTTGTTTAAGAAAGAAGTGCTGTTTGTTTCTTGTCCCATTTGTTGATTGAACTCCCAACACATGTGACATACACCCAGTAGAGCTGCCCTTGTTGAAGTGGGCTGGGGGCCCAGGGACCCACCTCTCAACCCTCCTTTCTGTAACCCAGAAAGGGTTGTGCCCCTTGGGCTCTGGGCAGAGTTTGCTAACCAACGCTCTGCCACACTTCTCAAGGTCCAGGGTCTGAAAATATGCTGCAGGCAGAGGCAGTATGCTGAGGGAAGACGCCCCCTGGGGTTGTGCAGCCTGTGGAGCTGCTGTAAGGGGCCTGGGGCCCACGTCTCTACCTCTTGTGTGAATGCCGTTCAGGGCTCTCACCTGCCTGCACTGAGAAATCACAGTGCAGGAGTCTTCTGAGCAGGTAGACGCTTGTTGCCTGTGTGGCCAGATGCAGACCTCAGCGGGCCTCTGAGTGAGGCGAAGGGCCGCCTTGGCCTAGTGGGTGTCCTAGCTGGAGGCCTGCTGGGGAGGGTGGGCCCTTCCTTCTCTGCCCCCACCCCTGTCCTGCCTGCTGCATGACAGGACCCCCTAGACTGGGCCACCCCTGAGGGCAGATTTCAGGGGAGGTTTCTACTAATCTCCAGGATTAATCCTCAGAGCCCTGTGTCTCCATGTCAGCTTGGATCTGCAGCCTGGCTGCCTTGAGCACCACAGCTGGGTTCACCCAGGCCTCTTCCACCCATGGGGTTGAGTCCCTGGTTGGGGCCACTGGTGAATGGGGCTACTGGGGTCTGACTGTCTGTTCCCACTCCATCTCTGGGACCAGCAGCCTCCTGGGCCTTTCCTTCCACAAGTTCTAAGCCCTTTGCTCTCCACGCTCTATCTCTCCCTGCCCTCCAGCCAGCCTGCTGGGGGGACCACAGTTCCATCTCCCCAGAAGAGGCACCAAACCTGAGAGAGTGGAAGGGTTTTGCCTGCTCCAGGGTTCTCCCTGGGCTTTTTGGCAGAGGCAGGGGTCAGGCTCCCTAACTGGGGACTCTAGCTCTGGGAGTTGAGGAAAAAGCTCTGGTGTGGTGGTCAGAGCTGCTGCCCTCAGACTTCTGACCTTGAGGGCAGAGAAGGCCCCCCAACCCTCTGCCAGCTGGCTGGGCCCAGAGGAAGCCTGTCTGTTTGCAGGCCCTGCTCTACTTTGTGGGTCCATGACCTTGCACAGCTCACTTATCCTCTCCAGCCTTGTTTTTCATCTCTAAGGAGGGGTGATGACCTGGGTCCCTCCTGCCATGCAGAGCCTCAGGGATCACCCTTGGCACAGTAGGTGAGGGATATGGACAGGAGGCATCAGGGGAGGGACTGCTCCAGCCCCAGACCCGCTCCACAGATGCCACGCCTTGGACCACAGCTCCTGTGTTATGGGCTCAGCCCAGAGCAGCCACAGTGTCCCAGGCACCTAGGACCTGGGGCTAGAGTAGTGCTGGGCTTCTAAGACCAATATCACCACCCACCCACCTTCTGTTGGAGAAGAAATGCACCTGCTTCTCTGGCTCCTGGAAGCTGAGGGGTTGTTGCAGGTCTCGAGTATCAGGAAAAGAGGAGTTTGCATTTACTGGGCCACTAGCTTCAGTCCCTCTGGTGTCGAGGCCCTGCTGGACACTGGTTGCCTGAGTTCAAATTCCCAGCTCCACCTCCAATTAACCAGTGACCTTAGGCGAGGTCCACACTCTCCTTGTCCTCCGTGTCCTCATCTGTACCTCCCAGAGGCAGAAGGATCAGTATATTAATTCATGGGAAGCACTTGGCAGTTTCTGGCACAAGGTTAGTACTTGATGATACCATATTTACAAAGCAATAGCATTAGGGTTTATATAATAATATTTTTCTTTGGAGCAGCTCACATTTTACCTAAATTTTTTGAGAAGGAAGACTCATGTTACTATTGTAAATGAAGGCAGTATTACTGGCCCTTCATAGTAGATATCAGTATGAGTAAATTCAGTGTAGAGAAAATGACATGGTTCCATTTTCACCATTTAGCTAGCTACAGCTGTCAGCTGAGGCTCTAAGCCTGGTGCCTGCTTTCTTGGTCAAAAAGACAGTTTACCAGGATTTAGAGAGGTGTTAAAGACCCACTAGTATCTCACTGAGACTTTCTCCTTGATGGATTCAGAAGACTGAAGAGAAGTGAAAAGGGAACGACTTTCTCACCAGAAAATTCTGATTTAGTGATGGGTTGTGAATTGCTTACAATCACCTTGTGCACCCCAAATCATTTCCTACCCTGCTGCGGAAAGCATCCTCCAACTGTGGGAAACATTGTATAATCTTAGGCATGCTGTTTTTCAGATGTAGTGTTTGGAAGGTAATACATTTGTATAGTTCAAAGATCAAGCAATGTACACATGTGTGCAGAGAAAAGTCTCACTCCCTCCCCTGTCCCCATCCATCCATCCATCCAATAACTACTGTTTTTAGTGTCTTTTAAATCATTCCAGAACTTATTTATGCAACTGTGTGCAAACACAAAGATACTAATTTTGTCTTTTTTTATATAAATGATGGAAAATTAGATACATATTCTGCCTTCCCTTTTTTTTATTTAACAGTATATCCTGGACACATTTTATATTAGTGCACAGAGAGCTTCTTCATTCTATAGAGTCTGGGTATTGGGGTGAGTTGTTGACCCTCTTTTGCTCTCAATGGCATCATCTGTACTACAGGGGTTTGACCCCCAATGTCAGTTGACCCCCAAGAGCCTTGCAGCTCTGACCTTGAACCACTCCATGGAGCTGTTTCTCTGAAATGTGAGGTCCCTGACAGAAATGTCTCCCTTCTCCAGGACTGGAGAGGGAAAGCTTCCTGGATGGTTTGAAGTTTGTCCTAGGTCCGCAGTCAGTTTAGCAATCATTCAGGGAGAGTGTCCTGTGTGCCAGCAGTGGTTAAGGCAGGAATAGCTTCGGAAGTCACACCCAGCTGATCTTCTCGGCTCCCTTTGTGGTGGGGTGGGGTGCCTTTCCTGTGTTCCCTTGGCTTTGTCTGGCTAGGCTCAACAAGGAGGCGTGGTGGCTCCACCTAAAACCCATCCTCCTGAGTCACGCTGCACCCTAAAGCACAAGGACAGATTTCCTCGAAGTCCCCTTTCAGCCCTCAAACTCAGTAATACCTGCCACAGGGTCTTGCCCATAGGAGGTGCTTAATGGACTTTACTGTTGACGTGACCTGGCATTGCCGTTGTCACTGTCACTGTCCCCCTATCCTGTTCCACCACACTTTTGATGAAAATCTAGATGAAGGAGATTGAGGGAAGTCATGAAGAGTGACACAACCTCAGGCTTTCTTTAGCTCTGACTTCGCATTTAATGAATCCTGTTCTCCTTGCGCAGGAAGACCCTGGAGATCTCGACGATCTTGGTGTGTTGGCCGGAGGGACTGTGAACGTTGTACCATGGCGCCACCTGGTGGAATTTCCATGCAGGAGCA